GAAAAGCATACCCTACAAAAACTAGTTTCAATCTTTTTTGTTCAGTTTTTTTAGCATCCCTGCAATTAACCTGGAGAATCCTATAGTGATTACTTCAAAACAAAATATTCCCCTTGTATGGGGGGGAAAAAAAAAAGCATCATAATGCAAATCTATCTTTGTAAGATGACAGACTACATCATATTAAGATCTTGAGATAAAGAAGATAAAGAACTGGTCCTTAAAGAAAGTAATTTCTGAGCTGAGCTATAGTTTCACATAATTAAAAGGTTTCAAGCAGTTAGTTTTAAATATTACCCAACCTTATCCTTGAAGTAGGAGTACAAGCACTTCTTCCAGTCCTCAGTTACTATGCTCTTGTAAGCAAACTGCTGAATGTAAGCCTTCAAGAAGCCAATGAAGACATCTAATAGTAAAAGAACCAAAACCAACCAAACCTGTTTCAGTGTTTGGAATTAAAACAGGAAATAATAATATATAAAGCCTGACTAACACTTACCTGGTCCTCCGAGAAGTTGTTCAAGGTAAAAAAGCAAAGCAAAGCCTTTCTCATATGGAACAGACGAATAAGCAACATCAGGATCCACTTCGTTCAGATTAGGGATGAGGTTAGTTAGAGGATTTTTATCTCCAAAAGTATTTATCTGTGACAAAGACACAAGAAGCTATAATCCATCCAAAACTAAGACAGCCTCATTTCAGAGCATTCATTCTTTTTCCTGACGTTCTGAATCTGCACAGAACATAGTTTACTGAACTTTTTTCTCACTTTATCAGCGTCTGATCGCATATCAAACACAATGTTTGGATCAATCACCCTGTGCTCCAACCGTCTCAAAGTATTTAATTACTGTCATTTCTGCCATAACCACGAGCACCTAATAAACTACCTATATTGATCCCTTTATTAACAAACTATTTAAATTACTTGATTTAATGGGTGGTATAAAGCATAAAATACAATGAGGAAATATTAAGAGTGAACCAGGTAAACTGCACCAAGAAATTGAATGAGTGGGTTGAAAATACCACAGGCTGGAAATCTGAAAACTATGAGAGTTTAACTATGCTACCTAAACATGAAACTGAACAACCCTCCTAGACAGGAACAGATCAGGAATATGCTCAATTACAACACAGTACACAGGAAAAAAAATAAAACAGTTACTTGCATGAGGCACTGGAAATTCTGATGGTCATGCTTGCAGATAATTCTGACAAGCTTTCAGCTGCTTACCAGTATGCTAACAGGTAATACTGCAATTTAGCCATACCCAGAACAACCAAGAGAGTCTGTAAAAATGTTCTTCCTTAAAGAACAGCTTAGAACAGTTCAAAAAGCTTTATCTAATCTGAGTATACTAAGCTATTACCTAGGGAAGAGATCATACACCTTGGAATCAAAGTTATTCATCCTCTAACAAGAAAGCGTTGGGAAAGCTGACTAGACAAGTCTTATTTTTGGGAAACACATGAAACCACCTTTATTTTATTTAGATATATGCTTAAATATAAAATTATCATAACATTAAAAATATCTACCGTATTCTGCAGTTCCCTCCAACCTCCTAGGGCTTTAAAGTGCCTGAACTGCTCACCAAACAACCGACCACCAATCCTGCGCTCCAGGTATACAGTATGTCCCTCATTCAGCCTGGAAATACATTGATAAAGTCAGTACTGGTAGGATGGCAAAATTAATTTAGTTGGTCTCTTTACAGAATAATTTTAAAATATGATTGCATTGCATTGAACATAACACCTACCAAAAATGCTCCCATGTTTTGTTTGTTACCAAGTTTCCTGTCCAGCTGTGAGAGATTTCATGAGCAATAACCTAAAACACAGAAAACAATGATGGATCTGCTGTTTAGACTCCTCTGGAAAATGAATCTCAAATCCCAACAGAAAGAATCCTAATGGGATCTCATTTACCACACTACATTCCCAAAGCCAGTTAGCATTCACAGCTCTGTAAACTTTTCCATATAGATTTTATTTAGAGGACTAACACTAGCCTACCAAACCTTCTTCAGAAATAATTTTGAACATCCGGCCTGCAAAGCATAGAGCCACACTCATCAATAAAAATAACTCCTCCGGTACCACGGTGCAGGTGCTTGTTTATGAAATCACATTTCAGAACCGGACCCATGTCAAGTAGTGGACTAGTACTACCTTCTCACCTAAGCAACTGCTGCAGTGCTGGGACATTCTACAATACCAAATGTGAAGAAAACAGGCACCTCTAGAAGAATAATGATTCACGATATATTAAAAAGTATCCATGTCAAATATTTCAGTATTCTTGGGATAAGACAATATATATTTTTAAGTGTATCAGTCTAGTAGAAAGACATAAAACAGTATCCAGAGTACTTAACTTTACAAAAAAAATTTACTCAAATTGTACTCATTATTTCCACTTTAAAAGGAAACTGTACACAATGTGAGTTCTAGTGACATACAGAGGAAGAAGTTCCTATAAACAATTTTGATGAGACCAATTCAGTTGTGGTTTTTAAACATATTTATACCCAAGACAGGAAAAGAGCTACTGAGCAGCTAACTTGAGTCCGTCCCCTATGCATACAGGCATCCATGTTATTTTTATTTGTTCATTATACAAAATAGGTACATCTCCAGTTTTCTAGAGTTTACTTAGAACTAAAACTCACTTTCAAAGACTCCTTGGGTTACTGCCTTAACTTTCAATTCCCCCAATGGGCAAGACACCAAGTTTTCAGATACCTATTACAAAGGAAGTTAACTTGTGTTCTACTTGAAGACATGAACCTATTTTGCACTTACATTTGACAGAGATCGATCACCGGCCTAAAAAAAAAAACCAAAAACAAGACAAGGCAGTTGTCAGTTCAAGTAAACCTCAAAATATATCACTTAATGCAGTTTCATGTACAATCCTTAACTCCAAAGGAGGCAGGAACATTTACAGTTTTCTAGAGGGGGGAGATTAATCCAATCTGTGGATTAATATCCATCACCTGATGGATAAGCAAGCCCTAAGGAAAAGCTGATTTTTATCAGTTGTTGCACTTACCAATAGTGTTGGAGTTACAAAAGTAAGACAAGGATTCTCCATACCACCGTAAGGAAAAGAAGGTGGTAAGACTAACAAATCATACTGTCCCCATATGTACGGTCCTGCTAAATCTTCTGCTGTTTTCAGCATAGCTTCAGTCTGAAAGAAGAATTCACATTAGTTTCTAACATGACTTCTGACTACAAACACCGAACAAGTAATAAGCTATTGATCCCATGCTTCATTCTCTTTCACCTTGGCACGTCCCACAAGCAAAATTAGCACAAGACTGTATTAATATTTGTGTTCAGTACTAGTTTTGTGTTGTGATACAAGAACAGCATTTTTTCAGGTAGGAGGCAAGAAAGAAGGGCTACAGATGAACAAAACACTCAACCACAGTCTGTTCCTTTTCCAATATTATGTGAAACAGTTTACAAAACATTTTTTGTTAACTACCCACCTCAGCAAATTCATAGGCTGATTTATCCACTAGCTCCTTTTCAGCCCACACCAGTGTCCTTGGGCCAATCTTTCTGTTGAAAGTAAAAATACCACTAAGACACTATGAACTGGAAATAATTCCATGGGAAACTAATTCAGAGAGCACATATTTAACTGTGCTCATAAGTACTGAAGACACTCATTAGAGAGTCTGCCTCTCTTTTTCCTCTCCCATGCTAAAGTAACACTAGAAAAAGCTTTAGAAAAGAAAACAAGCAACATACATCCACTGTTCAGGACAAAAAAATAGGAAGCACATTTACAGATTTTAGAATGCTGTAAAGCTCTAATATAAAAGCATTATTATGGGCTAGATTTAACACAACCTTGTGTAGATGAGCAATGAGGCTGTAGTTATCATTTTCTGCCTTTTGTACATGACAAGGCTTATCTGTTACCAGAGGAAAAAGATACTATTCCTGAGCTAGAAAAAGCCCTTAGTGGTTCCAATCAATTACAAACTCTTCATGGTATTTATTTAACTTACAGCACAAGTATATTCTACAGAAAAAATGATGCAAGAATGAATCAAGACACTCGCAGTTTGACACAAATGAACAGGTCTACTGAACCTCTAAGATCTTTTAAAACTAGATACAAGACCAAGAAACAAAAAGAGAGATTAACTCTGAAGATTTATGATGATTATTAATATTTATACTTCATGCAGATTCACTCACCTGCTTTCTAAAGCTCCAACCACTAAAGCAATCAAGTAGCAAGGTATGGGAACCTAAAGGAGAACATGAGGAAAAAAAAAAAAAAGAAATCTTATTTGCAGTGTGAGCTAACACCACCACAGATTCAGTCAAAGTAAAACAAAAGTATGTAAATAAAGCAGTGTGTATATTTCCTCCATAGGTTCGTGCCCTATATTATAAAAGAGGCATTGTTCTTTCTCCCCAGATGATATTGCTTTATTTACAAGAAGTACTTGTTTCACAGATTTTTCATGCAAGGGCCACAAAATTTTAAGTATCATCTCTGCTTGAAAAAATCTGCATATATAAGAGCATACAAAAATGCCACTGATTGAGTTACTGTTCAAAAGAAAGTCAATTTTCCCCTATTCATTCCAGTTCCATTAAATTCTATGGAAGAAGAGATTAAGAGACACTGCTCAGATAAAGGGCAGTTGTATCACACACAAAGATGCAGGAAAAGCTTTAATGAATTCAAGTTTATCCAGAATATTTACGAATACAAAAGATTCAGCAAAATCAAAATACATATATTTGATTTCCATGTTTGGCATTAAAATAAATTCTAAATATTTGTTATTTTAATGAAAAAAATTCCAAAGCTACAGTGTCTTTATAGAAAAATTCTTGCTCCCAGTGCTCTGGAAACAAGATAGGATAATACAGCAGTCCCTGTAAAAGTTCCATTTTATCTGACTAAACAATGTTAAATAAGTAAGATTTTAAATCATAATTACTTGTAAGCAACATTTCAGAAAATTTTATTCAACCACTTATTATCCCCAAACCATTTCAATATCATTTATTAAAACATCCATATCATCATGTGTTTTAATTTTACATATTAACCCACAGAATATATTCAATATACATTGACTTGTGTTATAGACAGGTTATTAAAAGATCTGAAATTTCGGTATTACTTCAAATCTCAATGGTTGTTGGGTTAAGAATTCACAAAGGCTGCTCTCCACTCCACTTCTTACCAGCCTGGCCACGCAGGAGCAAAAAAATAGTTTTAGGTAAGCTCTGCACACATAAATATCCAGGAGTTGGATGCATTTGTCTCTTTCATCTCATGAAACATGCACCTTTTCTAACAAATCAGTCTCATGGTTTTGTACGTTAGATGATGCATATGTCTTTTTTTTTTAATGCATGTCTTTTTTTAATTTATATCTTGTGTTTAATGCATTTGACTGTTTTGCTTAATGACACATGCCTTTTCTAACAAACTAATCTAATTTTTTTTATATCAGATAGTGTACTATCATTTCAACTAGACTAAATGTTACTCCTTGTACAGGTTCACCAAACTTATCTCCAGATAACATACATGGTGTATTTCCTGATAACATACAGCTCTGGATAACATACAAGATAGAAGCCTTACACACTAGACCGAGTGGCAAATGTTTTGACTCCACAGAGAAGGCATAACACTGCATATCCAAGAGCTCACAGATAAGGTGACAATTTTTTTTCTCTTTCTCCCCTCTTGCCTCTCTCAGGTTTCACATAGCAGCCAAATCAACCCAACAGCTGCTGCAGTTCAGAGTAGGCTCCCCTCCTCTCTCTCTCCTAGTCATACAATTCCATTCCTCCTTGCACACTTTCAGTCCATCAGCAGCCCAGGTCAGCTTAGTAAAACAATTTGTTTCTTAAACTTATGTTAATTTTTATCTGCTTGTTCAGCAAAATGAACTAGGCTCTCAACCCAACAGCTGCTGCAGTTCAGAGTAGGTTCCCCTCCCCTCTCTCTCCTAGTCATACAATTCCATACCAAGAGATCCCATAAACTTCAGAACTGTAATCCAAAATGCTGCGAGAACAAAAAAGCCAGTACAGTAAATTGAGACTGCCACTTTATGAGCAGTGGAATCATTAAAGTAGCTGCACCACTTAATAAAACTTTATCCTGAGAATGGTAATCTTTAATTATCTGGAGATACTTTCAAAAAAAAAAACCAAAACAAAACAAAAACCAGAAACAAAAACTGTGTTGTCAGAATTTGCCTAACTTCAAATTAAAAATTGCTTCCAACGCTCAGCTTCACTGCTAAAATCCTGGTAGGCTTAAAATATGCAGGATCTGTTTTCTAAAAATCACTCCCATGTTATTAAACTCTATGCATTCTTTCCCAAGCATCAGTGCAGACAAAAAGGATTTTGATAGCACTAGCTTTAAGTATACTAAACATTTTCAAAATTCTAATTTGACTTTTCTGGGAATGCCAAAACGACCGGTAAACATCACCAGCACCTACTGGTTGACTTTTCAGCATTGGAGATTCATAATACCTCGTATTTCTATAGTGGCAAAGACCCATCCTAAGTCACATGATTTATCAATGACATCAAAACCATACCTGAAGGGATTGTGAACTGCAGGAGTTAGGAGTAAGACCTTAGGCATCCATTCACTAGCCTGCAGCACTTACGTTCTGACTGAAGCGGTATATCTTCCGACTGCTGTCCTCTGGGTCAGGCATCTCTCCGTCGCGATTAGCGCTCATGAGAGCCACCAGCTCTTTAGGAACGGATATCTGAAAGGTTACCTGACTGTGAGGAACTCAGCTGGCACACAGGGTTATATAATATACTTAAAACAGCGATAGCTAGAACAGCAGTTTAGATTTGTTGTGCTGTTAAGACCTCTCTGTCAAGCAGAACACAAGGCATATAGAAAATTTTGTCTGGAATGCTGCAATGTGTAATTAACCAAAAGATGACCTCTGACAGAAGTTAAAAGCTTCACTTTCTTCAGACTACTGAATTGTAACGTCACGTTGCAGTTTCTGCTTCCATAAAACAATTGGACTGTTTATGCCAGGACTGCAAAGATCCCCCAGCTATGTATCAGAATATATTGCTTAAGGCATATACGAGAGTCATTTCAAGTATTTTTACTTTACAGCACTCTTTATTGTCTTATTGTCAGCTTCTCCTAACTGAAGAATATATTTCTTTCCTACTACAGCACTTTTTTTCCCCTCTTAATTTTCTTTTGGAAATAAAGATACGTGTGAATGAAAAAAGAGATGATATACATATATAAAAGACCATGGTAAAGCTAGAGAAGTGCCACAGGGAAGATAAGCAGGTTTTGGCTCTTACATTGAGCAAAAAGTCAATATTCTCCATTTTTATTTTAAGCCACATGCCAGCAGCTACAAAAAAATATAAATCCACCCATTGTAGTAGTTGTCTTTAGTTAGGCATGACTTAGGTTCACCTACCTCTGCATAGTATGTTAGCTTCACAGCAGGTGTGTCTTGGCATGGAAGGATGGCTCTGCAGTGGGTAGCCTGGAGAGAGAAGTAGAAAAAAAAAAAGTTAAAACATAACCATCTTCCTAATTCTGAGGATTAGAAATAAATCAAACTAATATATAATGTTGGAAATCTATACAGTTCCTCCAGAGAACTCATTTTCTACAAACCAATACTTCCTATCACTTACAGCTGACAGTAGTTTTCATAGTTCAGGGTTTTCTAAAAGAAAAAATGGTAGGTTAAGACCCACCCACAGATGATAGCCACATATATTGATTGCAAAGGACCGCATGTTCTTCAACAAGAACACTGGAGAGGGTAAAGCATGGAACTATTCAATTGCAAACACATAATAAAAATCTCAGCAATGTCCTGAATTATTAAGTGATTTCATATAGGACCTCTGACACATGCAATTAGAAATTATGGGCTACTGTACTTTCCCTTACTTGTCTTCCTCTCCAACTCTTTGGAAACCAGGGGAAATTACAGTGGTATGTAAACAAGTTAAAAAAAATAATAAAGAAATTAATCCACTCAACCTGACACTGGCTGAAGAGAAATGGGTGTTTCTTTCCAGAAGTCTGCTCTGGAGAAAGCCACTGGAGAGCTGAAGACTTTGGAGCGCTTTCAAAAGAGATTTCAACAATTGCTTCTTGTCCCCTGTGTAATAAAGAATATAGTCCAAAAAATGTATAAAGTCTAGATAAGAACATATATGCCTTAATAACACAGGATTTGCGTGTTCTCTAGATAAAAAAAATAATCTGATTTTGCAGCTGACGTTACGTTCTGTATGATCCTTAAGCAGAAAAAAAACCAAAATGAAACCCAACAACCTGAAAATAGTAATTACTAGAAAACCCTATTAACAGTAGAGTTAACAAGAAAAATAGAAGACCTTCAAATTTTATTCAGGGTTTCAGAACTCGTGTAAAGTGAAAACTAACAGCTGTGTGCAAGACAGGTACCAGCTTGCTAACGAGAGCAAACCTGACAGATTCATACACTTGTGTTTTAAAAACCTATCAAACCCATCACTGATGCCAAATGCACACAGAAGTACTTGCTTCTGTGCCCTGGTTTTTGCACATTCTGTTATCTAAAAATCCCAAGTTATACAAGTAACTCTCTGGAATTAACAATCCAACCATAAATCATAACGAACTTCAGCTAATCAGAGGAGTTGGCCGCTAGATAAGCTGACCAGGTATAAATATCTGGTTTATAACCAGTATTCCAAAGTACATATTTGACAAGAAAAAGAGGAAATATTTTGTATTACTGTAAGGCACATTGCTTACTCAGCAGTCAGACTTTCATTTGTACCTCTTACCCTCTCCTATCACTGTTTTATTGATCTTTACATGGGGGATTGTATCTCACACAAGATTATGAATTCTTACAATCACAACTCATAACTCACTCTTCATAGCTTTTTTCCTTACATGGAAATCTAGCAAGAAAAAAAAAGCTGGGAAAAAAAAACCAAAACAGGCCTATGTTTCTGCTGTTCTCTGTTTGTTCAAGTACTTTAGTTGTTCAGTTTCACATCAGATCATAAGTGTTTCCCTGGAAAAGACAGCTATTGTATGACACTCCTTTCTCTTCCACATTATTTATGTTTCTAAATTGCAATAGTTCAGAAAACAAAACAAAAAAAAAAAAGAAAGAAAATTAGAAACCAGACGTAAGTTTAGATTTACAAACAACAGTAAGAAGCAACTTAGCATACAATTTTATTCAAACAAGGGAACCTCCTTATACAACCACAGCTTTCAGCTTTGGCACGTGAGATACCATGGAGTTACAACATCCAAAGCAAACTGCCAAAAACTTACTGTAATTTGGCAACAACATTTAATTCATACAACTTAAGAGGTATAGACTATGGTTAGTTCGTTCTCCACCATTCTGCTAAAACTCAAGCTTCCAGTTTTCAGGGACTTGGGCTTAGGATAGTCAGTACAATAAATATTTTACTGTTTGTAAACATGTTTCTCTCTAATCATAGTGGTAACCTGCAGTTCTACAGAAACACAGGATCAGTCCTTGTATAAATTAAGGAAAACAGGGGCTGTAACTCCGCGTGCACCATACTGTAGCAGTTCTGAACATGACAAGATTCAGATAGTTGAATCATAGAATCGTAGGGGACGGAAGGGACCTCAGGAGATCATCTAGTCCAACCCCCCTGCCAGAGCAGGTTCCCTACAACAGGTTGCACAGAAAAGCATTCAGGTGGGTTTTAAACATCTCCAGAGATGGAGACTCCACACCCTCCCTGGGCAGCCTATAAGAAGCAAAGAAGCAGAAAGAATATTACTGGAAAAAATATTACCATTTGTGTTGGGTTTGCATGTGTGTGTGGTGGGGAGGGGTGGGGGGGTGTTTTTTTGGTAGTGGGGGAA